AGGCATAGGAGACAATTCTACCCAGAAGGTCGTATATCAAGCACTAAAGAGTATCCTCAGAATTAAGCCCATCAGCTTTTCTCATGTAACTCTTGCTATTATCGCTGACTTAAGTGATAGTTTAAATATCATTGTTTTCTCCCTGGTTTTAAAAGGTATATGTAAATTTTTAATGAAATAAAGCTCGTATGCGATGTGACTTTGAAACAGTCTAGTATGGTCTTGCACACATTTATTCCCAGCCCTTAAGAGGTAGAGATAGGAGAATCAGGAATTCAAGGCCTGTCACCGCTACACATCACGATTGAGGTCAGCCTGTGCTACGCTACACCCTTTATCAGAACAACAATTACAACAATGAAAACAGGAGACTTTGAAATAAAAAAATTTATGTTATCAACCCAATAATAGCATAGATAACGACCTAATCTATGTACACTATTAACACATGTGCAACACACAGTTTTCCTGAAGTGAAAGGAGAGTTGACAGGTCTGGAGAGATGGCTCAGTGGCTAAAGAGCACTGGCTGCTCTTCCAGAGGTCCTGAGTTCAATTCCCAGCAACCACATGGTGGCTCACAACCATCTGTAAAGGGACCTATCTGATGCCCTCTTCTGATAGAAAGTAGAACATGCAGATAGAGCACTCGCATGCATAAAATACATAAATAAATCTTTAAAAAATGAAAAGAGATTTGACATACATTGTTTGCAGCAGTCTTTTCTTCATTTAAAACTTAAAATATGGCAAAAAGTAGAGTAATACCCCTATAACCACTGACGGTGTCTTAGTTACTTTTTAACTGTAAAGAGACACTAAGAAAGCATTTAATTAGGGGCTTTCTTAGAGTGTCGGGTGGGGGGGTAGCCCATGATCTTCATGGCAAGGAGTATGGCACTAGGCAGGCAGGCTGGCATGGCGCTGGAGCAGTCGATGGGAAATTACGTCTTATCCACAGATAGGAGGAAGAGAGAGTAGCCTGGACTAGGTTTTGGAAACCTCAGAAAGCTCATCCCCAGGGATACACCTCCTCCTCCAAGGCCACACCTCCTAATCACTCCTAAACAGTTCACTAGCTGGGAACCAAATATTCAGACATAAGAATCTGTGGCAGTCATTTTCATTCAAACCACCACAGATGGTGATATATAAAATCTGCCAACGGTGTTGCTTCATTTAATATTAAATTATATAATATATAAATATCATAATTTATATATAAATTATATACAGTTAAACAATCTTATTTTACAAATTTAAAAAAAAATCCAACAACTCAGGATGAAAGTGATTTACCTATCTTGCTCAATGTCTTGTAAGTAAAGTCAAGGTTCAAACATAGCTGATGTGCCCTCATGAAGCAGAAAAAGAAGCCAGACTATTGGTGTCTGTTTAAAAGTCTCTCTGCATTCGGTCAAATGGAACAAACTGAATCTGTCCGTCTTTCTCAGAAGATGACTAGTGTCGTGTAAATCCTGGACAGCTATGTTTTAAATGAATAAAAAATATACTCCATTTGCAAAACTCTTGGGCAATGCTATTCAAAATGCCGAGAAGTATCTGTGGATCTCACAAGTATTGACGAGTATATCGCTCCCTGACCAGTACACATGTTATTTCGACTCTTAACAGTAAAAGCCCCTGGCTAACTTCCTTTTTCATTTATTCCTAGGCAGGAAGCACTCTATCTTTCAATGTTCTTGACCTTTGGCCCCAGGTTCCTGCTATTTTAGCATCCTATTCCCCAAAATTAATTCAGCAGCAGGACATAGAGCACCCATTCTTCCACTGGATTCTATGGGGGAAAGAAAAATCAATAGATTTTCATCTGTGAACTAGCAAATGCATCCTTAGTATTTAAAATCTCCCGACAGCTTTCTGCATGAGCGTGGATGGGAACATCACCTCTCCTGAGGAATGTCTCTGCTGGCCTTTACGACAGGAAGCATGCAGGCATCTCGCTTTATTTCTGCATCTGATTTTAGTTCCTTTAATAAGTGCTAAGTAGGCTTCATCCAGTTATTTTCCAGTGTGTTTCTTCAAATCACCCAGTAGCATGTGCTAACACGTCTGTCTCTTGTTTTAATGAAAAGGTTTCAGCCTCCTCATCTGCAGTGTGCCATGGGGACATAGGCTAATTTCTATCCTGATAAATCAATTCAGACTGGGAGAGAGTCCTGGTGATGGAAAAGTCAGTTATTTTGTTCCATCAATATTGGTCTGGTGTGCACATGAATACGACAGACAGCCTAGTAAAAAACTCACACTTTCATTTGTATTGTCACTGTTGGCATTGCAGAAAGGAACAACTAGAGCCGCTGTGGTTTGGATAAGTGTCCCTTAAGACCCACATATCAGAGGCCTGGTGGCCAACCTTTATTATCAGATGGGGCCTAGGAACTTAAACCATTGGGGTGTTTCTTGAAGGGCTTTGGGGGATCCCATTCTCTTCCTAATTTTTTTCTAACTTGCTCTGAAGTCACCATAAGATGAAGAAGCTGCCTCTGCTGCTTGCTCCTACCATAACACCCCGTAGTTCTACAGGCTCAGATTAACGACGTCACGTGACCACAGACTGAACCCTCTGAAATCTCACGTCAAAGTAACCCCCCTTCTTTCCTTATAAGTTGTCTATCTCAGACATGTTGACATAGTCGTGGAAAGCAGACTGACTTTTACTCATGGTCAATCCATTCATGCATTACAGAGACATTTATTCAAAATCAGCCTCAAACACGGTCCCAGCCCTCTGAACGTCCACAGACTGAGCAAAGGTTGGAGTGTTTTAGATATGTGTGTAGTTGCTGCTGGTGGTGGAAACGTGAAAAGTTAAGCGGATAATCAGAATACAGCACACCACTGTCTATTGTGTTGTATTTGGGAATGGGTTGCTGATTTGATCTGAGGATGTACTGAGTGTGGGTAGGGTCAGACAAGGCTTCCTATAATGGCTGAGCTGAGTGTTAACATCTAAAGAGTGGTATTGGACAAAAGAGTCAGAAAAAGAAAAGAACAGAGACAGTCTGGCATTATCTAAGACAGTGGTTCTCAAGCTACCTAATGATGCAACCCTTTAATACAGTTCCTCATGCTGTGGTGACCCCCCCAACCTTACAATTATTTTCATTACTAATTTATTGCTGTAATTTTGCTACCATTACAAACATATTATAAGTATCCGTGTTTCCCAATGGTCCCAGAGGTCCCTGTGAAAAGGGTCAGTCAAGAACTACTGGTCTAAGAACTTCAAGTATTTTTAGGCATTGCAACCCAGGAATGACATGAGTAGTCGTGAGAGGGGTCAGAAATGCAGGGCAGGAAGAGATGGGTGGTCAGTGTTATAGAGCTTGGCTTTTGTTGCTGTAATAATCAATGGGAATCTGAAAAGAACTGAAATCAGGCAAAATATCAAAGTGATATTAGTATTTAGGAAAAAAATTTCTTTTGACTAAAGTCTCACAAACATGGATGTTTTTTGGCATAGTGATTTAATGTCTAGGACATTACATTATTGGTAGAGAATTCATGAGATTTTGTATAACTGTAACCAAAGAAGTCATCTAAGGTCTATTAAGGCAGAGGTTTGAAGAATGAATTTTAGTAAATTTATGATCAATGACCATTAGATATTTTAAAATATGAAAATAATTTGTAGCCAGTATAAATTACCCACAATAACTACACAAAAGGGAAATGTTAGAGACAAGACAGTATATTGACAGTATATTTGACCTTTCAAATATTTCTTCACATATATCTATAAAAACATGCTCATCACCACTGTAGTAAAGCTGAGCCCCAGGTGGCATGGGTGCAAGAGAGCTGGCTCTGCCCTTTCCTGAGGGGTTAGTCTCAGGGGAGGCTTGGACTGACCAACTCAGCTCACACCCAGATCTACATCCGACGCTTTGAGTTGGCCCACCCCAACATCTACTACAGCTATGATCTGGTCCTATGGAACGAGAGTAACAGGATCGCCATGACTTAGAGCAACAGCAGGGTATCTGAGAGGAGCTTTGGTGAGGTCCAGTGTTGATGGCGTACCACAACTAGAGGCCTTGAGCCAGACCGACAGCTTATTACAATGAACAACAGCAAGTAAAGCTGTCTGGACAGAAGGATGCACTGTGTGACATGTCACAGCTCCCAGTGCCACTAAGATGAACGAAGAGGTGATGGAGAGGCAGGAAAGATGGAGGAGCAAAGTGCTGTCCTGTTTTTTGATTAATATTTTTATTTTTTTATTTCTTTTTGGGAGGGGCCACTGCAAGGGTGAAAGGCAGATATGGAGGGACTGGGAAATGAGTGGGACTGGAGAGCATGATGCAAGATTCCCAAAGAATCAATAAAAAGTTATGTTTAAAAATATGTTACAGCTCAGCACAGGGAGGGAGAAACTGGAAGCTCAGAAGTTCAAGGTCATTTTTGGCTAGGTAGTGAGTTTGAGGCTAGCCTGGGATGTGTAAGGCCCTGTCTCACATAAAGGAATGAAAGCCAAGCAAGCCAACAGAAACTCCCACCTGAGAGTGATAGGTAGTTAAAGGGCGACAGAAGAGCAGAAACACTCGCTTCAGGATCTGTCTTCTTTCGCTGTTTTACTCAGGGACATGTTCTGTGTTTTCCTTCTTGCTTCAAGTCCTGCGGCCTCACACAAGAGTTAAAAGCATAACCTTAAGGACTGTTGAGTTTTGGAGTAACCACGTCTGGGGAGCCCTGGGATGGCAACTGCCTGTTGCTGTCTGCCTGCCGCTGGATTCATAAACCGTCAAAGGCTCTTATTTGCCTTAAAGAAGGTAAAAATCCTCTCCTAACTCCATGCTCAGCTCTCAGCCCAGTTAGCTCTTCTGAAAGGATCAGCAGCAAAGACTCAGCAGCTCCTGGGGTCCCCGAGGCTCTTAGTCCGAAGTCATTTAAGCACGCCCAGATCTCAGCAAAGCCTCTCCTTACTTCCTTGTGTCAACTTTGTTCAGACCCAAGTTGCTCAAACTTTACATTGTATTCTTTTGTGATTTTTCTTTTATTTTTATAGCATAATAAATACATCGCTTCCTCTTTTCCTTCCCCCCATATACACTTCCTTGCTCTTTTCCAAATTCATACATTTACGTATGTATTGTTACATGCACGTATGTATATGTATATGTGCACACATATATATTCTTAAATATAACCTGCTCAGCCTACATAATGTTACAGTATTCTTTTCGAACCATCCTCCACTAGCCTTTCTTCTAGGCTCATGCTGGTGCCTTCCTTAGGACTGTATTTTCTTCCAGGCTGACTTGTCGCTATGGTGACACTGAGATCAAGTCACTCAGCATTTTAGCATGGAAAGGGGAGGGGCTTAGGTACTCCCACCCCTTACTGAGAATCTTCAGATAGTAGATGGCTTCTAGGGGGAGGAAGAACAATTTTTCTTTAAGGGTGTGGTACCTAATAGGTCAACCACACTCCAGGGGGATGGTCTCACACTCATGAGTTTACTTGGTAGGTTAAGAGAAAAGGATGTGAAGTTGGGAGGAGGTGGAGAGGTGAGAGTAGATTTAGGAATTTGGGAGATATTGAGGCCGACTAGGATCAAAATACATTGTATGAAGTTTTCAAGGAATAAAACACTGTGTTGAAAATGCTTCTAAAGTTTGCACAAAAAGGAACTCATTGGGAGATAGCTAACTTGGTGGTTAAGGATGTTTGTGGCCAAGTCTGGCCATGTGACTTGAGTTTGATCCCCAGAACCCATATGGTAGAAGAAAGAAACCAACTCCTACAGGCTGTCCTCTCCCCTTGGTTCCACAGCAGTCACAGCACGAGCCCCACGCTCACACAAATAAATAGATGTAAAAACGTCTTGGTTTTAGTTTGTTTCTGAAATCAAGTTAGATAAGGTGGTGTAGGCCTCTGGGTCCAGCATTCAGAAGGCAGAGGCAGGCGGAGCTCTCTGTAAGTTTGATGCCAGCCTTGTCTACATAGTGAATTCCAGGGCAGGCAGAGCTTTATGGTGAGACCCTGTCTCAAAAACAAACAAACAAACAAACAAACAAACAACAAACACCAAAAGAATTTGTGGGAAAGCTTGCTATAGGTGCGGGTTCTCAGTCCCCAACCCTGCTCCCAGTTTGCAATCTGCAGTTTGATTGGCCATGCCCCAGTAACTCTGGCGATATCTGCTCATGATAGCACTTTGAGGAAATAGTCGTATTTTCTGCTCTTGCTCTGCACAGTACAAGTCTCGTTCCCTGTTCCTTGAATCTCCCTCTCCAGCGGCTCTAGAAAACTCTACCAAACTGCACAAGCCAGCACAACTTACCTGGAAGCCGGGAGTGCAGGATCCCCACAGGCTCCCTTGTGCTGGACGATCACCAGGTTGTCCTCAGTACCCTTAAGCTTGCAGATGACATTTTGAGTGGATACTTGATAATTTTTTTTAAATAAGATCTAAACTTTTGATAAAACTCTAAATAAATATAATGGATGTGTTATTTTGTAGTCCTAACAGGCCATGGGACAAACTTAGATTTTGGAACTTACCTTCCTACACGTTTTAGGACGCTCTTTCTCTGAACATGTGCAGCTTCACTTCTTTTCCTAGGGCATGACCCACATCTTGGCACAGACTTTCCTGCCTTGGCAAACAGAGGAAGAGCATATGCTGGGAGATGTGGAAATCACGCCTGCTGACCCCTCCCCATCCCTGGCAGCCATGTCTCTTGGCTCTGTTATTTACATGGCTTGTTATGTGGGACTCTTCTTAGGCAACTGGACACCCTCCTGTTCACTCCTGTGTCCATGAACGTAAGTTTTTCAAAGGCAGATTAAGATTACATTCTGGGTGGGCAGTGGTGTCGCACGTCTTTAATCCCAGCGCTTGGGCGGCAGAGGCTGGCAGATCTTTGTGAGTTCAAGGCCAGCCTGGTCTACAGAGCAAGTTTCACGACAGTCAGAGCCACACAGAGAAATCCTGTGTTGAAAACCAAAACCAAACCAAAACAACAAAAGATTAAATTCTGGTTAAATAGGAGTGGAGTTTGGGCATATTTGTGAGGTTTAGTGTATTGAGTTTATTACGACCAAAGAAGCTGCAAAATAATTAAAATATCTTATATTCTCTGAACCTGTGAAAGAAAGCAGGTACTGGAAACTTGAGAAAGTGAGCTTCCTTTCAAATTTGAACTTGGGCACAAAACCTAGATCTACCAATGAAATCTAGAGTTGACCTTGGAGTCAACAGTAGGGAGGGGAAGTAGCGGGAACTGTACTGAAATGATGGTGTGGTTGTGGCCATTTTCTGTCTCCAAATGTGATAGTGACAGTGTCTAGTGTTTGGGGTGCAAAATGATGTTTACTGTCCCATGGTTGCCTGCATGGTGGCTCCGTAACCCAGTTCTATCAAGACATAAGTTACCCAGCCGTTCTCACAGGCAGACTTATACGCTGGGCTCTGTTGCATTCCTTGAAGGTCCAGAGAGACTTTGCACTTCTGCTGAACCAACCTTACTAAGTTGGTAAGTTTCCACTGACTCTTTTCCTCAAACACACCCTGTACAAATCTGGTTCCACACCTTCCTTGTGTCCCCTCTTATTTTACCTTGGAATGATATACTTTCAACTGTTTTATCAGACTGCAATTCATTTAAACATCATTATGAGTGGTTATAGAGATGCTTCAGCTCATAAAAGTGCTTGTCACACAAGCTTTGATGGCCCGAGTTTGATCCATAGCACTTGCCTGAGAGTGGAAATATAAATGACGCCAGGGAATTGTCCTCTGACCTCTATATGTGCACCTTGTGATGTGTACTTCCCCCAGTAATAATAAAGCAGAAGTAGTTAAAAAGTCATCATGACAGAGTCTTCTTTCTTACTTAGAAATATTTGGTCATGGTGACTCGGGAGAAAGCTCACTTGGTAAAGTGCTTGCCAGGCAAGCATAAGGTCCTGAGTTCAATCCCCACCACCAAAATAGAACTGGGCTGTGTGGGATGTGCTCATCACTCCAGTGCTGGTGAGGCAGGCAAATCCCTGGAGTTCATGGGCCAAGAACTCTAGCCAAAATGGTGAACTCCAGGATAATGAGACATCTCATAAACAATGTGGGTGTCACCTGAAGAATGATGTCCAAGCTTGATTCTGACCCTCGACATACACATTCGCCCGTACACATGTGAGCACATACACATGTGAGCATAAACAGAACGTTTGCGCATGTGTGTGTGTGCATGCATGTGTGATAAATTCTTGTTTCCCATCACTAGCTTCAACACATCACCATTCATTTCTCATTGCCCCTTTTCCCATGCGTTTGGTGATTAGAAAGGGAGGAAACTGATTAAGGCATCTCACTTACAAATATTCACATGTGTCTCTGAGCTAAGTTTAAAACCATACAGAGGTGGTGGGAGCATGATTCACTGGTAGGAAGCTTGCCTCTGATAAGGGAGGCCCTGGGTTATATGCCCAACAAAAGCCAAACATATCAACAACAAAAGCATACTAGCACTATCAGACCTACTAACGTGATTCAGTTTGGGTCCATGAGTTTTGAGTTTGTTTTAGGGAAGGTCCAAATACATTCCACACGGCATGTTTCAGGGATATACTTCTTTTTCTCTATTTTTAAAAACTGAAGTGTGAGTCACATGTCTATTATATCTCCAAAAACTGATGACAGATATTCCTTCCCCTTTGTTTCATGGCATTTGTTCAATATATAAGACTGTGTAAATATTGGGTCCGGAGGGATGCCTCAGTGGTTAAAAGCACCAGAATTACCAAAACCAGAATTACCTTAGCAGAAAATTCTCAAGGAGGACTTAACAGCGATGTTAGGGTCCCTCGTCAATTCCTAAAGGAGTCACTATGGCTTATACATGATATCATAAGGGGCAGAGTCATCGGTAAACTGCTAAAGATTCAGGAAATCACCTCGCATCCATCCACATGCAAACGACCCTAATTAAACGCTATGAGCTACTTAAAAAAATAGATGTGGAAGTAGAAGGGAGCTATGTTGGGAAGAAAAGGGTTTCCATTGGGAGTGGGAAGAAATCAGAGCGGGAAATCGGGTTTGATCCTTATCAAAACACATTATATATCCGTATCAAATTGTCAAATAGTAAATCAAAAAGTATTTGAAAAGATGGGATTCAATAATGATGAGGACAAAGTCACATACCCAGTGCAATGGATTATTTAAAATGCTGCAAAATCCCTGGCAGTGGCAGGCAGCAGAAACGCTGCAGGTCCCCAAGGGTGTGCAGTGGGTCATGTGGCAGCAGGCAGTGGGCTCTGAGAGCAGCCAGTCCCAAGCAGGCATGGCTGCAGGTCGCCGAGCTGTGGCTGGTTCAGGGCAGGGAGACATGCGGTAGCGGGCAAAGAGACAGAGACATGGATAGGTACGCCATGCAGAGTGAGGTTGGATATTTATTAAGTGGGTTATGGAAGTATGGAAGGGAAGGGGGAGGAGAGAGAGGGAGAGAGAGAGAGAGAGGAGAGAAGGAACAGCCGGGAGAGACAAAGCTGCCTCTCCCTCTCTGAGAGGGAGACTGAAAAGAGAGAGAGTCAGGCTGCAAGCTGAAGATCAGCCTGTCTCAGCAGACAGGGTGGGGTGGAGGGAGTGGGCATGGCTTGTCTTTTAAAGAGACAGAACAGATCATTACACCCACTCCCACAGGGTGGCAGTGTAACAGGTAACCCTGTGAAGGTTTTCTGAACAGAAAGCAGAATGAGTCCAAAGGAAAGTTGGAAGAGGGAGAAACAGCAACTATATGTGTAGTCTTAAGACAGCTTCAGCTCAGGGCCACACCCTAGAGAGCTCTCTGTACTTCAATGAAGAAGAGCTCAGAAGTCTTGAATTTTCTCATTTTCTTTTCTTTCACTTTCAGAATGACCCTTTAGTTCTGGAGTATCAGTCACTGGCCTATGTAATGACTGACACAATGAACTGTTTCATTACAGTTTTTAGGCTCCCAATGTAGCCAAGGATGACCTTGAACTTCTTCTTGAATCTACCCCTTCCAACAGCTGTGATTGTAGGTGTGTGTGCCACCCCACTGTTTTGTGCAGTGTCAAAAACTGAACCCAAGACCTCATTCATGATAGGCAAAGGCTCTACCAACTACAATATGTCCCAGGTCTCATTATAGTTCTAAACTTCAGTTCTGACACAAGTCTGTGACAGACTTCCAAGGGTCAACAGATGACACTTGGACATAATTTGCTTCTATTTGTGTATCGTAAAAAGGAGGTGCATAGCTTTCTTCAGCTTAAAAAACTCCTGGTGGGTCAAGAGATTCAGACAACGAAGAGGCCCAGTGTTTCTCAATGTGGGCATTGATGACATTGGAGTAGAAAGCTTGCGGTCCTGCACAATGTTTAGCATTCACGGTTCACACCTCTCCAAATTCCTGGAATTGCTCCAAGCCCATCAGTTCCTCCTCCCCAACTCCAGCACTGATAATGGAGGACCTGAATGAGACTAGGAATCAAAATACATGTTCCCTTCTTGCTGTACTTTCCCCATTACCTCACTGCTGAAATCTAATTTCTAGTAGTTCACATATCAAAGAACATTTTGAAGCTGTTGGGAGTGATTTCAGATATCCTGTCATGTTATTATTATTGTGAAGGACCAAAACAAGCATTTCAGAAACTATATTCAGCTACAAAATTTTGAGAATTACTACCTCAGTGCAGTATGCATTTCCCCCAGATCCTCGGTTATCAATAACCCACTCCTATTGGTGATTTTACTGATATGAAATTTAAACAATGCTTCGCTGGGGGAAGAGATGAGAGTGGGTAACCCCTCGGTTGTGCCCAACCATCAGAACAGATAACCATTTAATTTATTACTCTGGAAGTGAACATACACAAAGAGATGCTAGTTTGGAAAGAATGTCTAAAGATGGTCAAAAGAAACAACCAAAATTCAAGTTCTTTGAGTAGCATTTTAATTAATTAATTAATCGATTAATTGTGTATGCTTTCATGTGTGCATGTGCGGCGGCACCTGCATGTGGGCTTTCAGCAGTTAATAGTTACCTGCTTCCAACGTGGGCTGGGGACCAGTCTCAGGTTGTCACGCTCATGGGAAATCACATTTTTTAACTGAGCCATCCTGCCTGCCCAGCCGTTTATCAGATCGCCAGTCAATTTTTTTCTTACTTTTGACCTTGCAACACCATCTGGAACAGGTTTCCTAATCTCTTCTTTTATAGATGAGGAAATTGAGGCTTCTAGGAATCAAACTAACATGTCTAGGATTGCACAGGATTTCTTAGAAAAAAATAGGAATTTCTACAATCTTAAAAGCCATTCTTAATACTGATATCTCAAAGCACTTGTTTATATATGAAAGGAAGAGTCCTGCTGGAACTAATCAGAAGACAACTCTGGAAGTACAAACGAGTTAAAGTGCTGTCATTTAATACATTACCTAGCTCAGTGCCTTGAAGCTGCACCAACTTGCAATGTTAGGACGATCTCTTTTGAACTCCCAGCCAGTTGAGAAATTGAAAGCAGACGGTTGGTCAAGCTGTTTGGTAACTTGGTGCCTTTTAAAATTAACTGAGTCCTCCAAGTGCTGCTTTAGATTAGAGGTGACTAATTGGATAAAAGGGAAGGAGCCTTTCAGCTGATGAAGAGTATTGTAAGAGCCCAGACTGTTAGTTCCAGAAAAGGAACACACAAGAACAACTTCTCCAATAATGTTTTCATTACAAAAGTGAAGTGTTCAACACTCCGTTCCAATCAAGGACGAGATGTTACGTCGCTGCAGCCCGGAGAAGCTTGGGAGAGACTAGAAAGTCCTTTAATTTTAAAATGGGCTTTAACTCTGAAACTTTCTAGTGCCAAACCCTTTAGTGTTTTATTTTTTAAATGAACACTCGGCGTGCTCTCCTAGATGTCTGAGCTGGGAGGGACATTAGGAGACCAGGCTGAGTTCGTTCTTATTAATATTAAACAGCCAGGTCTGTACCCTTGGGGCAAACGGGAGAGACAGAGAGGAGCTGCTGACATTGACAAGGAATCCAAACAGGACTTGCACTATCGGTATCTACCACGTTGCCGCTCCCCGACTTGGCCTTCTGGGAATTGTAGTCTTTGCAGACGCTGCTTTATTGGAGATCTTGTTTGCTCTGCCCCGGAGGTACTACAAATCCCAGGACGCATCGGGATCAGCCCCTCCCGCCCTGATGTGAGTGTAAACTCACCGCGCCGGGGCGGGCGGCCGGCTAGCGGGCTTAGCGGCTCTGCGCGGGGCGTGCGGCTTGGGGGACCCAAGTCCCCTCATCTTTGGCAGTTGCTTCCAAGCAGTGGAAGGCGGGCAAGCGGGAGCCATGCAGTCAGAATCTGGGATCGTGGCGGATTTCGAAGTCGGGGAGGAGTTTCACGAAGAACCCAAAACCTATTACGAACTCAAAAGTCAACCTCTGAAGAGCAGGTGAGTGGTGACAGCTGGAGGGCGGCGCGGCGGGAGGCCCAGGGGCCCCGCACTAGCTACCGGGAGGTGAGAACAGCCAGTCTGACTAGCAGTGGGACAAGGACCCCGTGCCCTTGCCTTGGGGTACAGGGCGACTTGGCCCCTGGCATCTGGGGTTCTGCTCTCAGATGACTTGCTTGCATCCTAGGATGTCTGACAGAGACACCTCGGGCACCACGGGTCTCTTGGGATGGTTCTTCCAGGCGCGGGGACCCTCGACTGCACACGCCAGATGCTGAGTTGAATGGGGGCTGGGGCGGTACCCGGTGATGTAGGAGGAGCACCGGACGGGGACCATGATCTGGTGGTACCGGGCGGCGGAGTTTTTATGAAGATTCTTGGAGGCTGAGGGCTCCCAGAGGGAGGGCTTGGAGTGGTGGCGATCCGATGCTCCGGGGAAGCAATAAACTGGCCTGAAGAGTCTCCTAGTAGTTCAGACTCTCTGGGAGAGACCGCTCCAGGTGGCCCCTAGATTAAACTGAAGTCCACTAGGGCTTTTTCTCCCACCTGCCACCCGGGAGCACCTGAGTTCTGAGAGGGTGGTGGCAGCGGGTGGGCGTGTCTCCCCAGCTGGGCAAGTTCTCAGGAATAGAGTTCCTAGCAAATGTAAAAAAAGGAAGGGAGGAAGGAAGGAAGGAAGGAAGGAAGGAAGGAAGGAAGGAAGGAAGGAAGGAAGGAAGGAAGGAAGATAGATAGATAGATAAGCTAGTTCAGAGAGGCTTTTGGTAGTTGGGAATGATCTCCTTTTCGCTACTACACTCGTTTAATCCCCCAGGCACTTCAAAAACTCCGGGACTGGAGTGAAGATGCCCTCTGGTTCCTCCCAACTCTGTACATCTGCAGCACCCTTATCCTTTACATCACCGTCTGTTGCTCTTTGTGGGGCAGAATCGGTTATCTGCCCTTTTCACTCTTCTTGGTCACTCTGGGTCTGTAGCACTTCTTCTTTGCAATGTTTACAGAGAGGGGGATGGTGGCTGGAATTCGTGCTAGCCAAAGGAAGGCATTACTTCCACCCCTTTCCGTAGTGAGGTAGGGAGATGAGATAAGACTGAGACTAGAAGCGTCATCACCTTGTCCCTCAGCTGTCACTAGGGCCTGGATGAGTGAGGTTCCCCTGGCAGAGGGGCAGAGGGCCTCGCTTTCAGGGGACTGAAGGGCCAGGGAGGTAGAAGTCAGGGGTGGAAGGGATCCTTGTTTTTGGAGAGAAGGAGGCTGAGTCTTAACTCTACTGGAAAAAGGAGCTGGGTTACTTTCCTTTGGGGCTGGGGCTGGACCTTGAATCCAGTTAGGAGAACAAACTCTGGGCAGAGCAGATGTCCCTGGCTGCCCTTGCAAAAAGCAGGCTTTTTGCACATGCTTGTGGCAGAGTGGAAGGAAATGTGTTAGGCATTGAGATGCATAAACTTGGCCTTTCACTGGTGGCTTCTTTTCATAATGGCTATTTTGTATGTGAACATAGATTGTGTGTATTGGGTGCTCTGAGTGATGCTGTGTAAGGGGTATTGTTGGTTATGCTCATTAGGGCTTTATCTGCATGTGGCTGAAGGGACCAGTGTTTTACTGGGCAGTCCCTGCTTTTGCTTCTATAAGCAAATGCTTACATAGCTGGAATGAGGGAGTGTGTGTGTGTGTGTGTGTGTGTGAGTATGTGTTCCTGAAAGAAATGAATTAGCAGAACTGTTGAGAATGTTTTGATGGTGGTTGATACATTTAATAAGTTTGAGGGAGTGAGGAAAATATGCTCTGGAGAAAACCAATGAGGGCCCTGACACTGATGTGGAAGGATCTGGTTCTGTTCTTTGTCACAGTCAACAAGAATGGCATGCAGGAGCACATGTCCTCTGTAGCTAGCGAGCATGGGGAAGGAAAAATGTGGGTGTGTGGGCACAAACAGCTTCACACGTTGGTACTAGAAGCAGGTGCGAGGTAGGATGGAGGAGACGTATGCTCTTTGAAATAATCCAGTTCAATAAAATCTG